GCGGTGGGCTCGGGCAGAGCCCCGTCTGGCCTGCGAGTCCGAACCCCAGCCCCGGTGCGTGCGAAGCAGCCGAGCTTACGTGAGTGACAGATCCGTGTGTGGCTCCGGGGCCAGCGGACCCAGTCCGGGACGGAGCCCGAGGGCCTCCCGCGGCTCTGGGGATGCGGAGGTGCAGTGGCCTTCAGAGGCCGCGGGAAGGAGAGGCGGGGCGCCGGGTGACTTGCCCCTGGCCATGGTCGCCACCTCGTGGGCGGCGACCAGGCAGACCAGCCTGTGGAGCCACACTGGCTGCCCAAGGAGGGCATCCTGGTTCCCCAAGTTGGTTTTCTGGGGCAAGAGTCAGAAACCCTGCTGGAATCCATTTTGTCCTTGTCTCTGTAGTGCAGACTGAATCTAGGGTGGATGATCTGACAACTGGTTTAGAAGAAAACCAGCGCTCTGTGCGGTGGTTCCCGGCTCCGGGGCTGTCAGAGCCGTGGTCAGAGCAGTCGCACCCTAAAAACGCAGCATTCAGCCGCTCCAGCTCCTGGGCCGGGGATTTATTCTGTGGTTCTGGGAAAAAGGGTTTTCCTGAACCTAAGCCATAAAGTGAGTCTGGGATTTGCAGCCTCACTCCCTCCTTAACCTCTCAGGACGCATTTTCCTTAAAGGACAGAATGAATGGTTGTGTTGCACAGGAAGGAAACTTGTTGCACAGAGTGAAAAACAGCATCAGCTGCTGAAGCTGCTTCCCCAGGCCACTGAAGTAATCACTGCTTTTCTGTGCCTGAGAGAAGGACAGTGAGGACAGCTCGATGCCCAGGTGGTCCCTGCTTTCACTGCCCTGTGCAGATGTTGTAGGAATAAGCCCTCTGGCATCCGTCGCAGGCATCTTTTCCTTCCTGTCTGAACAGTGGGGATGCTCTCTGCCCCAGTGAATCACCACAGGCTAGGGGTCTCTCTCAGGGATAGCAGGTACTGCTGCTTCTGTTCTCTGAGGCTGTCACCCCCTCTAGTGGCCTGACCCCTGCCATTTCTCTCCTCGGGAACGCAGGAGGCATACACGGAATACCTGAGGAGCATCCACTACATCTCCCAGGTGCTACTGGAGGATGCTGGAGCTCATCAAGGTACAGCTCAGCCTTGCTTCTTTCTTAAAGGCACGCTGTGAGAGCTTAGCTCTTGATGCTTTCCAGGCCTGAGGTCTCTGTGTCCTTCTAGCCTGATCATTAGCAGAGAGTGGGTCAAGAGCATGAACTGGAATAGTGTGGCATGGTGGCATCCAGGGGCAATGCTATGGGCAAAGGGATGGATTCTCAGGAGGACAAGACACTGACCAAGGCAGAGAGGAGAAGGCTGCACATAGGTGGGGGTGTTCTTAAGACAAGGACATGCAAAGTCCCTGAGAAGGGAATGGATGTGGGCAGGGCTCTGTGTGCCTGTGTGAGCTGTGAAAGAGCTCACAGAGGCTTTGAGCTTTGTGAGAGAGGCCTGCACAGGAACAAAGACTGAAGGAAGTTCTGCAGAGCGGACAGCAGGAGCTGGACCACTGGAGGCAGGAGCAGTGAAAGGTTTGGCATGTACCTTGCAGTGGGATTGACCAGACTTGTTATGGGAAGATGGTGCCAAGGGCAGGAGGAGCTCAGGTGGATGGTAGGGCAAAGAAGATTTGTGAGGGAGAAAGAGAGAATTCCACCATGAACACTTTAAGTCTGAAAGCAAGCAGCCCAGTGGATATAGGGCTCAGTTAGGGAAAATCAGTGGTCACCCCAGTTCCCCAGAGAGGGAAGGAGCTCAGCTGAGTGCCAGAGGGCACTCCAGGATTGAGGCATTGGGAAGAGATATCATCAAGGGAGGGTAACATCCAAGAAGCAGAGAAACCTGAGCAGCCTGCCGTCTGGCAAGTTGGGCATGGGTAAGTACAGTTTCAGCAGAGCTGGGAATGAGAAGAAAATAGAGTCTTACAGGTTCTGTTCTAAGGGGAGTACAGCAGTAGGTCCAGGAGCTAGGGCTGGTGGGGTCCAGGGCAGAGGAGGTGTCTGCTTAGGAATGGTTCTGTAGAAGGAAGCTCTGGGTAGGGGACGGGGTGCGAGGTGGTGCTTGGGACCAACCTGCAGGAAGGCAATTCTGGGAGCACAAGCAGCAGGTGGGAGATGCCCAAGGAGTCCCTCTGCACATCCTGTCTCTGTGCAGTAGCCACAGAGGCTGCATGGCCCTCACCCCAGACGTGCCATAGTTGTGGGTGAGGCCTCCCAGTAAGGAGTGAAAGTCCAGCAGGGCTCTGACATTCAGAGTCTGGTGAGAGGCCAAAGGGTTAGTCTGATGCTGGACTGGCCAGGCACAGGAGTGTGCATGGCCATGAGCCAAGTAGACCAGCCGGTGGCCACACTGGCTGCCAGAGGTGGGGGTCAGAGGTGAGGATGGGCTTGCCTGTTCTTAGCAAGCTTCTGATTCTGACTACTAGAGCTGACTACAGCCAGCCTCTTGTGCCTCCCCAGATGCTGATGAGACTGTGCCCCCCGACACCTCAAAGATGCTGAAGCTAGCTGGGCAGTGTCTGGAGCGGGCCCAGTCAACAGCTGCCAAGCTTGGTGGGTACCCAAAGAAGGAAGTTCTCCTGAAGTTTCCCTCAGTCTGCATCTGTTTTGTGCAGTGGGCCCCACTGCTGATCCTGGCTTTGTATGTTTGCAGGAAAAGTGCGCCTGAAGCCAGCCATGCCTGCGGCTGCTTCAGTCCCCTCACCTGCCAGTCGACACCGCCGGGTGTGTTCCGATGAAGGAGGGAAGCTTTCTCCTTTTCTGCCACCTGAGATCTTCCAGAAGCTCCAGGTGGTAGAATCACAAAGCTCTAAGAAGTAAGATGGAGGGAGGTACACTGAGGTTGAGGACTGAGTTTGGAGGCCAAGCACAGCGAGCCCACCATGGGGAATTAGTTGAAATGGGTCTAGAGTGGAAAGATTTTTGCATGCTAGGAGCAGATGCAAGTCCTCTAGGAAGAAACCACCTTCATCCTTCATGAGTTCTATGGCCCACAGCCAGAGATAGCCAAGCACAGAAGGAAACAAGAAACAGCAAGAGCAGACCTGAAGAGTGTCCTCAGGTAGTGCTCTCAGGCCCCTACACCTGAAAACGCTGCCAGGAACAAGACACTGTACAGGCAGGCCAAGCCCAGGAGAACCAAGTAGAAAGGAAACAGGACACACGATCCTGACGTCCCTTTAAAAACCAGCTGTGGCCCAGTGTGAGGCCCTGGGGGGCCATCCTCAGCACCAAGTGAAATAAATAAATAGAATAAAGATTCATCAACAACTAAAAAACTAGTTGGGAACAAGAATAAATTATATTCTCTGGTGGGAATCCACACAAAATCAAGTGAATGAGTCTGCAGTGGTGCAGACAGCTGGGATAGAATCGAGAAGGTGTCACAGACTCAAGAGAAATGGAAGGCCAAACATGTGTTTTGGAGTTCTAGAAAGAGGAGAAAGGAAAGGAAGGGGGCCGTTATTTGAAGATATAACAGCCCAGGGTGGTGGTGCACACCTGTAATTCCAACAGCTCAGGAGCTGAGGTAGAAGATTGCAGGTTCAAGGCCAGCCTCAGCAACTGAGTGAGACCCTGTCTCAACAAACATGAGCTGGGCTGTGGCTCAGTGGTGGAGCGCTTACCTAGCACACACGAGCACTGGGTTAGATCCTCAGCACCACACAAAAATAAATAAAGGCATCATGCTTATCTACAACTAAGAGATATATTTTAAAAATGGCTGGGGATATAGTTCAGTTGTAAAGTTGTAAAATGCCCCTGAATTCAATCTCCAGTACAAAAAAAAAAAAGTAAACACAAAAGACAGAGAACTTTATAGAACTAATGAAAGACACCGATACAGATACAGGAAGCCCAGTGACCCCTCTCTGGGACAAGCAGAACCCACCCCTCCTGCCCACTGCTCCTGGCTCCCTCGTGTGTGCACACACATCTCCGGGACACAAGAATGCAGGGGCAGGGAGGTTCCAGTGGTGTCTTAGTCTTAACTCACAAGGGCACTTCTAGAGCTGACTCCACCACAAGACCAGAGTCACGTCCTTGTATGGTCCTGTTAGGACTTCCCGGTGGACTCTCCCTCCTTGGTCTTGCCCCTCCACGCGCTACCCTCCACCACCAAGAGCAGGGAGGTGGGGGAGTGCTGCGGTCAGATGTTACCGGCACCTTGACTCTGCTGCCCCATCCCAGAGTAGACGTGGTTCTCCTTTTAGCAGACTGCAAGCAAATCTGTTTGGCATGTACATTGTGCTTTTCAAGAGTTCCAAGTTGTTTCCATAGATACATAACTAGTTTTCATTGGAGTTCAAATATCTAGCCAAAATTCCTGGCAACATGAAGTCTTGTGTTTCTGTGGCAGATTAGGAGGGAAGGCATGTCTAGTTTACCCAGAACACCCCTTGCATCTCCTTCAGCCCTTGCCACCATGACTTGGTCTCAGGAGGGATGTAAGGGAGGTGCTTGAGTCACCAGGTACTCAGTCCTGGGGTCTGGACAGCAGCGTGCACCATTTCCAGGGAGCTGACGCCCCTGGAGGAAGCTTCCCTGCAGAACCAGAAGCTGAAGGCTACTTACGAGGCCAGGATGGCCCGCCTGGACCCCAGCCAGGCCATGCAGAAGACATCACTGGTGAGTGGGTCAGGGAGGGCCTAGGGTTGGTTGCAAGAGTCCAAGGGGTGGGTGAGGAGTGGGCCTGAATCCTCCTTCCCCTCCTAGACTCTGTCTCTACAACGGCAGATGATGGAGAATCTAGTGATCGCCAAAGCCCGGGAGGAAACAGCATCCCATCTGCCCATCCTGGTTGTCCCCAAGGAGATTCAGAGTGTGGTCTTAGAGTTTAGGGCAGCAATGGGGCAGAGTGGGCCTAGGGAGAGCCTGGGAGTTCTGGAGCTGTGGAGGAGCCTGTCCTCCATGGCCGACCTGCTGCTCTGCCTCGTACCTCCTGGCTGCTGCATGAGCTGTCCATCCCCTCCAGCACCAAGTAGCTCTGTTCATAAGCTGTGACTGCCTCAGATGTCTTCCCTGGGAACAGCCTGTCCAGGTCAGTTCCTGTCCTGGCCTTGCCTGCCTGCTGGGCCCCAGGATATCTCAGGTGTTGGGGGCATGCAGGATCCATGAGGGATAGGGAAGGGGCAGAGGTCCTCTCAGGTCAGATGTTACCGGCACCTTGACTCTGCTGCCCCAGCTCCAGCGGAAGATGGAGGAGCGCCGGTTGCGACTTCAGGAGGCTGCCAACAGGTGTGTCTCCTAACGTCTCTTAGCTAGCGGGGTTCCCTGTGCCAGCCTTGGGCCCAGCTCATCCTTCCTCCCCAGGAGGTTCTGCAGTCAGGTTGCCTTGACCCCAGAGGAGCGGGAACAGCGGGCTCTCTACGCGGCCATCCTTGAGTACGAGCAAGACCACGTGAGTCCTGCTGGCGGAGCAGGTGGGCGGCGGAGCTAGCGTCACATGGCCTACTGGTACTGGGTCTTCCCCACACCCTGGGAGGGCTCCGGCACACTCTTGGTTGGGGACAAGGGGCATCCCATCCCAGGGGACCCACTGTGCCTTCCTTCAAGGCCCCCTGTCCTACAGGACTGGCCACAGCACTGGAGGAGCAAGCTCAAGAGGAACCCAGGGGACCTGTCACTGGTGACCAACCTTGTCTCCCACCTGCTCAGGTACTCTGGGCCAAACAGATCCCACCCACCGGTTCTCCAGGGGCTTCTCCTGTCAACAGCTGGATAACATGGAAGAGGCTGAGGAAAAAAGCCGAGCTGTGACGGCTGGGGAGACAGCTGGTGGAGCAGCAGGCCAGGGGGCTAGGGCTCTGGCCGAGGCACTGGTGCTGCTGATGCCCTCTCCCGCCACTGCAAGGCCCCTGTACTATGGCCCTGTGGAGGCCTGGCCTCCCTCTGCCTTGGCCCCTCTGCACTAATGGCTTCAGTCGGCTTCCTCCAGCCTCCCCACATGGGGCAGGTCACGCTCCAGAAACCATACAGGAATCGCTTCTCTTAGGTCTCTTGTGGCATGGCACCTTTGTGGATGGGTGGGCACCACAGAGGGTGACAGGCTGGGGTTGGGTTTCTTACCCCCCATGGAGGCCTCTGGCTTGCACTCTGTCTGCTGAGGAGCAAGGATGGGGCAGGCAGTGGTGCGTGCCCTCCTGTGCGGCCCCGGCCCGTCAACCTGCTACTCTCCTTGCAGCCTCCCGGACCACCCAATCTCGCAGCTCCTCAAGAAGCTCCAGTGTGCGGTGTACAGCGCCCTCTACCCCGCTGTGAGCCGGGGCGCCCTCAGCACCGCGTCTGCCCCAGGTGCTGATGCACTGCTGGCCCCCGGGGGCCGGCGGCTTCGGTCCTCCCAGAGCCTCTACTGCATGCTCTCCCCGCCAGAGTCCAGCGTGGCTCCAAGGCCCCAGGATGGACTCCCTGCCACGCCCACCATGCCCCCACTCAACCCTGGGCCCCTGGACAGAGGGGCAGACAGCAGCCCAGCTGGGCCTCCCTCACCCCTGACGGATGCCTCAGCCTGCCTCCCAGACAAGGACAGCTCCTTTGAGGATCTGGAGCAGTTCCTGGCTATGTCTGAGAGGTGGAGCCAGGGTCCTGGCGGGCAGCCTGAGCCACAGACCCCGGGAACAAAGAGGGAGCCCTTGCTGGAGTGCCTGAAGAGTACAGTGAAGGACATACACGATGCCATCGGTGAGCAGCAGACCCATGTGGCAGCCCTCTAGCCAAAGCCCCTTCTTGGACAACAGAGCCTCTGTCCACCCTCCATGTGGCTCAGTGGACCCTGACCCACCCAGGGTCTCCCTCTGTTCTGGGTTGTGTCCTCCCTGGGCTACATAGGGAGGTGGGGAGAAATGACCTGTCCATCCCTCCTTGTTGCCCTGGTCCCTGTAACTCTCCTGTTACAGGAGACCTGTCAGAACTGTGGGCAGCAATTAATGCTGGCTGTGCCCTGGGCCAACTCAGTGCGCATTTCCCCAGCCCAGGACTGCTGGTCCAGCATGGGCACCAGCTGCAGTCTGCAGCTCACCCCAGCCCTTCCACTGGGAAACGGCATGGGGACCCTGGGGCTCAGGTGGCAGGCGTCTTGTGAGCCCCTTCTAGGGATGAAGGCTTCCATGATTTAAGAACCTGTGCTGCCCACGTCCTGAAGGCTCTGGTCGCACCCCTTCTGCACACAGACTCTAAAGCCCTGTGTTTCCTACAGATGTGAGCAGGTCCTTTAGAAAGGGGCCATCCTTCCCTCTCCTCTGCAGACCCCTGGCTACACAGCAGCCCCAGGGAGGAGGTGCAGCAGGCCTCTGGCCTCAGACCCCCTGCCCTGCCCCAGGCCATACCCCTCAGCATGGCAGGGGTGGGCGTGGGGAGATTGAAGGCAAGTAGAAGGACCAAATGGAGCCCTCCCCACACCGAGCCTGGACCTCCCTGTGGCTCAGCCACACAGGCTGGCTCTTGGGGAGGAGGACGCCATTGCTCTGGGCCTAGAGCCTGCAGAGGTAACGGCGGTCGGGGGGCGGGGGGTGCTGCCTGGACATCCCCAACTCTGTTCCTGGCAGACAGGCTGCTCTCGCTGACCCTTCTGGCCTTTGAGAACCTGAACACAGCCACCTGCAAGGACCGCTGCCTGGCATGCATCGAGGAACCCTTCTTCTCCCCACTGTGGCCCCTGCTGCTGGCCCTCTACAGGTATGTCCCCTCCTGCCAGCCACCAGACAAGCCCTGGAGCACCACCGCCTGCTCTTCAGGGGACTCGGGGCCCAAGGCAGGCTTGGGAACTGTTGGACTGTTTGCTTGGGCTCACTGCCAGCCAAGTCTCCCCAGGACAGAGTTCGAGGGGCCCCAGCCACAGCTCGGCCCTGCCCTGGCCTGAGCTGGCCTCTCTCTGCCCTAGGAGTGTGCACTGCACCCAGGAGGCTGCCCTGAGTAGGAGCATGGAGCTCTACAGGAACGTGCCACCCACAGCCCTTGGCATCCCCACCAGGCTCCTCCCCCCGCACTCTGAGACTCGGGGGGCCACCACCTACCCCTACTGTGCCGCAGTCCAGGAGCTGGGGCTGCTGGTCCTAGAGAGCTGCCCCCAGAAGAAGCTGGAGCACATTGGTACGGGGGGCTTTGAGAGGTGGGAGTCACGAGGCAGATTCCCGCCTCACGGTGGTCTGGGCCTGTGCTGGTGCCTCTGGGCTACCGACATTGTCTGGCCAAATGTGAGGGCAACACCCCTGGAGGCATGGCACCAGCTCTTCTCAGCCCTGTACATCAGGAGAGGGTGGGCAGCAGCAGGACTCCCCCATGGGGACCCTTGGTCCTCCTGTTGTACCCCCACCCCTGAAGCCAGGCTTCTGTGCCACAGTGCGGAGCCTGCGGGCCATCTGTGTCTGTGCAGAAGAGTACTGCCGCGCCCAGGAAGCCACGCACCAGGCCAGCGCCCATCCCCCGGCAGCTGCCATGTGAGTTCTAGGAGGGGCCAGGGCACCCCGAGAAGGACACCCAGGTAGGAGGAGCTGTCCTGCCCTCAGAGACTGGGCAGGAGGGAGCTCTCCCACCTGCCCTGAAGCTGTCTGAGGAGGACCCGGCAGCCCTGCATCTCCAAGCATCCAGGGCCATTCACTTTAGCACAGTCCACAGAGGACCTGGGCTCAGGGGGTGGGCCTGCCCCTTCCTCACATTCCAGCCATCTGGACAAGGCTGCTGGCATTGCATCAGGCTGGGAAAGGCTTCTCAGGGGTGGGTCCTTGGCTTATCTGCTGAAGCTGAAGACTACTTTCCCTAGCAGCATGTGCTGGTAGCGCCCGTCGCACACCTAGCACAAGCAAGGGAGCTGCCACTCTGAAGTCCCTGGGCCCTGCACAGATCGCCCAGCCAGGGACGTTGCTGGCATGTCCTGGGGCAAGCTGGTTTCTCCCCACCTGAGTAGCCCAGGGGGTTTGTGGTGCCCAGTCCTACTGTGACTCCCTGGACATAGCACCCTTCCGACCTGAAGGCTGCGTCCCCCTCAGCCCTGCATAAGCTCTGCCTCCTGTTGCCCTGCACCTGGGAACTACAGCTTGAGGTCAGCAGTGCAGGGCAGAGCTCCACCCTAGGGAAGGGAGCAGAATCCTCCCGGCCACTTCAGGCTCTGATAGGGAGAAGCTGACAAAACTGGCCTGGCTCCCCATGGCCTCTTCACCCATTTCATGAGTTCCAGGGATAAAAGGGCTTGAGTCCCAGCCTCTACCCCCACCAGCCCATCTGTGGAGCCAGTGCAGGGCCACCATGTTTTTGCAGGGAAGGGGCTCAACCAACTCAAGCCCCAGCTCAGATTCCGGCCGCCTCCCTGGTTCCTTGCCTCTACTCTTCCCAAAGCTGCTGGCCCTGAGCAACACTCCCAGAGCATCACGTCTGCCTGGAGCCGAGTGGCCACAACACTGTCAGGGTGGTAGGCCGCCAGGAGGGGGACCATCCATCCATACTCAGGAGGTCTGTTCTGCTAATAGGCAGGAGGACAGAGAGCAGGCAGGCCAAGACCACTCCAGGGCCCCCAGGCTGGGGGAGTGAAAGGCCCTCTGGCCCTGGAGCCCACCAGCTGCTGTGCTCTTGCCCAACAGTGGTGCTGATGACCTGCTGCCCATCCTGTCCTTCGTGGTGCTGAGGAGTGGGCTTCCCCAGCTGGTGTCAGAGTGTGCTGCCCTGGAGGAATTCACCCATGAGGGGTAGGAATACCCAGGCCAGTGCGGGGGCAGGGCCAGGCATGCACCCCCAGCTAGGTGTCTCCTTGGGAAGGACTAGAGACAGTGCAGCCGTGTCCACCAGGGGATTTCACCCCATTCCTAGACTGGTGCTAGGCAGTGACAGGCTGTGGGCAGACAGGAAGGCAGGCTGGAGGCCCCAGCAGCACCTCTGGGCCATGTTGTAGGTGCACCTGTGCCTAGAGCCCTCTGTGTCCCACAGTCCCTTGCTCAGCAGGTCCTGACAACACCTGCTCATGGAAGGGTGGTTCTGCCACCCTCGGACAAACAGGTACTAGGGAAAGGCCCTCCCAAGCCTGGCCTCCCTGACAGCCCAGGTCTGGTCACCTCTGGCCCAGGTCCTGCCCTGTGAGAGCAGACGTCACTTTCCAGAGTGCTGGGTGTCGTGGCCCTCAAGGTGACAGGAGCCTTTGCCCCTCCTTGCAGCTACCTGATTGGAGAGGAGGGCTACTGCCTGACGTCACTACAGAGCGCCTTGAGCTATGTGCAGCTCCTGCCCCGAGGGGCCCAGGGCCACTGAGGTCAGCCCGTGGCCTCCATGCTGCCCTGCACACCTGGCCCTGGGGTGGGGAGCCAGCCAGGCCTGCAGAGGTCTCCTGCTCTTGCCCCTTCTTCACCCACATCTGCCCCTGAGGCGCTAGGCAGCAGCTTCTCCCAGCAGGGCCGAGGCAGCCCGAGCCCCCCTGCTCTGTTCTCTGCTAGCCTCTGAGACCTGGTAAAGGGAAAGCTGGGGCCTGTTCACCACTGGCAGGCCTCTAGCATTGCACATCTGCAGGCACAACCCAGCCTGCCAACACTAGAGTGGCCCTCACAGGGCAGCAGCTCCGAGCAGGGAGGTAGGAGCCTGGCCAGAGCAGCAGTCTCCCTTCCCCCAGAACAGTCAAAGCCTTCTGAGCCAGTTTCCTGCCACAGCCTGCCAGCCCCGTCCCAGGAACTTGGGCACGGCAGTGTGGGACTGTGATTGACTGATTGGACAGCAGCTGCCCTGCTCGCTTGTGTTGGCCCAGGTGTTCCTGACACTCCCTGCCCTGGCTCACTTTGGTGGTGAGTGGTGAATATTCCAGAACCGCTGTCCAGCTCCCACTTCTGTGTAGCCTCTCCCAGGCCAGCCTGAGCCTGAGGTCACCTGCCTGCCACACACCTGTATGGCCACCAACCTGGCCTAAAATAAAGAGCCGCTGCTGTCTGACTCTGTGTGGCTGCTCAGTCTCCACCCCACTGGCCAGAAGGAGGCCTGGCTACTGGTGTCAGGGCTCAGCATGGCCATCTTCTGGTCACCGCAGAGACCACTAAGCCCAGGCACCCACCCCAAACCTGTGTTCAGACCGACCGTCTGCTCCAGCACAGGGTCCTCTGGGCTGTTCCTGGCCAGGCAGGTGTAGGGTTCCCTCCAGGAAGCACAGCTCCCAGGGACTTGGTGGGAAGCCAGGACAGAGCTCCTCACTGGGACCCTGAATCACTCCCCATGGAGACACAGGTGCCTGTGGTGGCAGGGTGGCAGCCCGCCTACAAGTGCCCCACAGCAGCCACGCGTGAAGTCTGGGCCATGTGGGGATGCATGTCCCTGGTCTGCAGCACCTCCACAGGTGGATGTGCACGGAGTGCCTTGAGGTGGCCCTACATGCCACACGGGACAACACACAGATGAGTGCTCTGCCACGCTGCACTTCCCCAGATGCCTTGTGAGGTCGGCTCTGGCAGGGAGGCAGGCTATCCTGTAGGGTAGCAAGGTCCTGTCCCCTGTGCAGGCCTTGGCGAGGATGTTGAGAATACGGGCTTTAAGTCCTGCTTCACAGAGCAGCGCAGGGGGGGCTGTGTGCTGAGGGAGTCCTGGTTTTGTATCTGCTGGCCCTGCCTGGGGTGGAGCACCTGCAGGCCAGTCCTGGGAGGACTGGGGCCGCCTCCACCATTTCCCGGATGTGTCCAGGTGCTGCTTCAGCTTAGTCCCTCAGTCTTCTGAGACTGTGGATCTGCAGCAGGTTGGACAAGGAACAATCTTCCTATTAGAAATCCTGCAAGTCAACAAGAAAAAGGCAGAAGTTCCCAATTATAAAAACAGCAATGGCTACAAACAGCCTTTGTATAGAGGAGGAGAGAGAAAGAAAAAAGTATGAGAGGAAGGAAGTTTTCAGAACCATAACAAGAAATGGAAGTTAAACCAGCCTCGGTGGCATACACCTATAATCCCAACAGTTTAGGAGGCTGAGGCAGGAGGATCACAGTTTCAAAGCCAGCCTCAACAATTTGGTCCTTGTCTCAAAATAATAAGATGACGTGGGGATGTGGTTCAGCAGTTAATTTAAACATGCCTGGGTTCAATCCCTGGTACAAAAAAAAAAAGCAAGTTGAAACAGTAATTTCAAGCTGAGGTTGTGGCTCAGTGGTAGAGCACTTGCCTAGCATGTGTGAGGCACTGGGTTTGATTCTCAGCACTGCATATAAATAAAAGTCCATTGACAACTAAAAAAAAGTTTTTAAAAAAATAACTTCACCAGGCCTGGTGGCACACGCCTATAATCCAGCAACTCGGGAGGCTGAGGTAGGAGGATCCCAAGTTCAAAGCCAGCCTCAGCAAAAGCGAGGAACTAAGCAACTCAGTGAGACCCTGTCTCAAAATACAAAATAGGGCTGCGACGTGGCTCAGTGGTTGAGTGCCCCTGAGTTCAATCCCCAGTAGCCTCCCCCCCAAAACAAAAACCCAGAAACTTTATACCATTGCAACTGGGGAGGGTAGCTGTGGGGTGGATGGTGCAGTGACCAGCTGCACTCCTCAGGGTCAAGGTAAGTATTGATGGACCCACTGATGTAGCCGTGCTCATCGGAGAGACGTGCAAAAGTTAGAGGGGCATAGCATCCATCCTTGGGCAAGCAGGAAGCAAGGTAAGGATGCATCAAATGGTTTTGTGCATGACCTTACATCCAGGAATGGTTAGTGGGTGCGCAATCCAGGTAGGGCTGCTTCCACACTGGGATAACCTAATGCTGAGGGGTAGGATCCATCTGAAGAGCTATCTGTTCATATGTCTTGAGTTCAATGCTGGTGGCCAGCTGGGACCTCAGGGCTGTCAGAACATGCGAGGCCTGTACATGTATCTTGTGGCTGCTGTAACAAAATACCACAAAAATTCACTCTCATGGTTCTGAAAGCCAGAAATCTGAGATCTCAGTGTCAGCAGGGCCACATTCTCTCTGAAGACTAGGGGAGATTCCTTCCAAGCTATTAAATCTTCAGGATCCCTGAGGTCCTTCGGTTGGAGCTATCTCACTCCCATCTCCATTTCCGCGTGGTCTTCTACCTCTGTGTTTAAAACGCTCTTCTTACAAGGACATCAATCATCTGGGATGAGGGGCCATCCCAGTCTGGAATAATCTCATCTTGATGATCCTAGAAAGCACTGCCTGTCTCCCAGGAGTTGTAGTCCCAGACTGCAGGTGTACAGGGATCCATCCACTCCTGCCAGTGTCCTCATAGCACCAGCTGGGGTCTGAAAGTTAGCGTCTCAAAATAAGGCAGGAGCATGGCCACACTCCTACGTTTTGTTTGGTTTGGTTTTTTCTTTGTGGTGCTGGGGATTGAACCTAGGGGAACTACACCACTGAACCACAGCCCCAGCCCTTTTTATGAGATGTAGTCTCCCTAAGTTGCCCACGTGGCCTTGAAATTGTAATCCTCCTGCCTCAACCCCTGGAGTTGTTGGGATTAAGGTGTGTTAGCCACTGTGCCTTGCTGGGCATGGCATCCTAATGATCTGGCCTCTGAAGTCCCAGTGCTGCTGAGTCAAAGCGGGCCTGAAACCCCCGGGGGAGTGGTCACTGGGGGCCCAGCAGGTTCAAGAAGGGAGCTAGGAGACAGAGGAATCAATTCAGGAACAGAGAAGGGTTCACTCGATCCTTGTGGACAGGAAGAAAATGAAAGGCTGAAGAGCTGCAGGCAAATGAAGTCAGCTCCCCTAAGGGTCAGTGTGACCCCTTGGATGCCTAAACACTAGATGAAAAACGCCTCGGGGAGATCTGCCTACTGGTTACAACGTTTAACAAATTTCCTTAGAAACATCTAAAAATATCCCAGTGAAAATCCTAACAGAAGGCAGGTAACTTTCCCGGGGAAAGGTCCCTTCTGGACACATTTGAGCCTTGGTTTGGTGACCTGGGGAGGAAAGGAGCAGGAGGTGCCCAGGAAGAGGACCTAATAGAACACCCTGCAGAGCAGGGGAAGCCACCCAACCCAGAGATTGCTGCAGGAACCCCGGTCCCCATCCCACCTGGAGCGCG